CAGCGAATAAATAACATTCTGCATTAATAATATATATCTTTTCGTTTCGTATTTGCGTTTAAATATACAAATATGAAGATTGAAAATAATCTCTTTGCTAAACACTGTAGTAATATATGAAACAATAATAATAGTAATGTAAAGAAAACAACGCTACTTAAACCATGACTACAACTACATACATATAACACCGTCATAAATATTTGTATTGTGCGGTATGGAACCCATACCCATTAGGCATATCGTATGGTGTTGAAATGCTACAACCATATTATAAAAGTGTTGTTCTAAAAAGGTTTTTCAAATATAAATTACGTTGTACCTCACTCAAATGACTCACAAATGCCATTCAAAGAGCTTTAGTCACTGAAGTACGATGAGTTCCAACGTTACGACCGTGGACCGCCACATATCCCGAGAGCAAATATCACCTAATCCCGCCCTGGCTACCCCACTTTGTAAGCCAACATTATCTCATGTTATTTTTCGATATTACCCCGTTTTACGGGGGTCGGGGGCGCGTAAATCAAATTTATGGCCTTTTTATACACGCATTAAAATTTTATCAGTGAGATTTCTTTCCATTCCATTGTCCAGTCAGCGCCTGTTTGTTACACTCTTTTGATTTTCCGGTGGGTGTAACGTTTGTGAGAAATGTATTCCTTTTTTATAGCAAATATTTACGAACTATAATGCAAATTAAATATAGCCCATAGAGCTATACTTAAAAATTAAACTACCTTTTATTCTTTCGTATCAATGGCAATCTAAATATTATTAGACCGGAATTTAACGACGTCTATTTCATATCGGTTGTCTTGTACAGATCTTCTTTCGTGCAGGATGGACAATCGGACACACAGGGCACTAAAGGAGGTGGGACATGATTTAAGATCAAGGCTTGCGACTGCTGAGTTCCGTCATAATGATCTACGAAAATCGTCATTTTCATTTTCTATATCAACCGTGTCATCATCATCATCGCAGCCGTGTAGAACATATTAATTTGAATAGTGTATATCTAATACTTTTTAAAATTCATTATTATAATTTTTTAAACGCTCTGTGAGTAATAATTCTTATAGATAGGTATATTTGTGTATATTGAATACAATCCATATATTATTTCCATTTAGATTTTTCCCCGGTGAGTTGGCTAGCCCGAGGCGGGCCTTCCTGAAACGGTGGAAGGCTGAAACAATGAAAGAGTATCTTATCGATATGTGATGTCGAGCTTTGGCCCGCGGCGTAGACCCCGATACCCGCTTTGTCAGCAAAAAAAAACAAAATCGCTTTTATTTAACGAAAGGTCCACGTGCATTTACTGTCACATATTCACCCATGTCCCATACCTATCAACTCGTAATGAATAGATTGTTGAAACCTTTAATAGATTTTAACAGCCTCGATAGACCATCGAGCGGTTTTGCATACCGCCTTACTTCCCATGGTCGCTGATTCGATTCTCGAACAAGACAATTATTATTGGCGTAAGTGTGATTGTATATATTAATCTGGATGTTTACATGTATTCAGAAAAAAATGTATTTGAGTATGTCAGTTCTTAGAACAAACTTCAGAATACAAGGACAAACGGCATGCTCGTTTGTACATATATACATACCTCAGCTAGCGGGTGCGCATGGGAATTCAACATTGAGCAATGGCATATATCTATTGTAATAAGCTGTTTTCTTTAAGGTTTCATAATATTAAATATATAACATTGCTGGACGGTGATTCCATTATGTGGTATTGCGTTGAAAAAGTTTCTAGAAAACCGCACGGTGGAGGACCACCATACATCCAGATGATGAGGATGGTATTTCAGTTATTATGTTATTGATGAAAAAACAGAAATAGTTGTTTAAGTTTTTGTTTGTTTCAACTATTTATAGCTGAATTTTTAATTTTTGACAAGTTGAGGCAACTTTTTCGTCTACGGTTTACGGTTTTACGGTTTTACGGTACATACACAAAAATGTTATTTTAGTGTATGTACCGTATTTATGTTCATATGCATGTAGTAAACAACGGTTATTTCAGTATTATAAACAGACACTCCAATTTTATCTAAGTATATGTATAGATGTATAGATTAAAAACTTGACAATCATTTATTCCAGATTCCCTTGTCATCCTTATCCCTTACCTTATATATATAAAGTGAAGCAGTAAAAAGCAATCTACATTATGTTAGATGCATACATGTATCTTGATATACTAAGGTCTGTGAAAGACCTTCTTTCTTACTCATAAAAAACCTCTTACAAGCCCATTTTAACCATTAAACAATGTTGTAAGGTTCTTTATAGATAGTAATTGTTTGTTATTAATCAGACTTTTCAACTGCTGATAAGTAGTAACCGTTGCCTATATAAGGGAACATCATGTCATGTACTCGTCCGTTGTGATTGCAGAGGACTAATATGTTATATATTGTAATTTCACTACATTCTTAACTTTAGCTGAAAAAAATATACTTAGCTAGCTTCTGTACCGTAGAAATAGGTGAGACAGAGGTAACCACTCATACCTCTTTATACAAAGTCTACCTCGATAATACATAGTTCTAAAGTAAAGGATGAAATAATTCAATAATAATAAAATACATCAATCCATAAACCTATTCAAGTGAAGTATAGAAAAAGAAACAAGTTGCAAAATAGGTCATTGTTATACTCGTACATAGGTAAACATAAAAACATCCGATGCATTGAAGTATTTGCAAAGCGAAATTTAAAATTGGAAATGCACTGACACAGAGTCGTGTGTCTGGCCACAGCTTTTAATACTGCAAAATAGGATAGTCATATGTTATTTGTAATATACAGACTACTCCGGTGTTCACCAAAAAGGGAATCATAAGCCCGACGCCTGCTAGATGCGAATCAAAGCTCGACATAATGAGGAAAGTCTATTCACTGAATTGCATAGAGTTACTCCGTTCTAGAACTGACGTTGGATTTAAAAATTACAGAAAAACAGATTTATATTAGTTTTAGGAGAGATAGGCATGTCACTTCCATTACTTGGCAAATTACTTATTCTATTTTTTTAATTTCATTGCTGTAAAACATTTTTTTTAAGTAATTGTAAATACTTACTTCTTATGTTATGATTTATTGGTGTATAGCATGTAATTTTATAAATGTATGTTGTTTAGTAAATATAGTTTGTATTAGTTAACAATAAGTATCGTGTGTGTTTCTTTCTTATTTGTGTGTAATTAGCATTCGACAAAAGATTTATGTCGTAATAGAATACGAAGTATTTATATTTTTAGCCAATATGTATAGCATGTAATTTTATATATGTACGTTATTAGTTAACAATAAATCTCGTCTCGTCTCGTTTCTTTCTTATTACGGTAGTTTGTGTATAATTAGCAAACTGACAAAAGACTTATTTTATAGTATCTACTAAGTATTTATAAATTTTAGTCAATATGTGAACCTAATAGTACCTTAAAACGATTTATTATAGGTACAACTTGTTCTGTTGTAGTGTTGTATATTACAACACTTTTTATTTTAATTTAAAAACCATTATTTAGGATTAGCTAATATTTATTACCGACATGAATGAAGTTATTTTGAATACATCAAATTTAAAATGCCTTTATTCGTGTAGGTCTATTACAGACTCTTACGATATGTCAAATCTACCGGCAGTTCGGAGTGCTTTCTTTCCAAATGATCTTGTACAAAAATAAAGATTAATTTTTGAACTTACATAAGTAAATAAGTGAGCATGTGCTATTGCAATTTAGTCAAAAAGGAATGGTCAAATCAGTATTCGTAATCCAAACATATCTCACCCACATGCAGCACCCGTTCACGAGTATGACGGATGAGTCAATCATCATAGCATTCAACTGTATTAGAGTATATAATTACATATTAGTCTCATCTATTTGCTCTATAATCTATGGCCATCCAGTTTGTTTGAGGAGCGGGCGGCTGACCGCGGCTGAGGGGCGGCGGCACGGGGTCGGCAATCAGCTAACCGGATCACCTCGCAAACACAATTGATAGCATCACGCCACGCTGCGACGCATGTGGAAAGTTGCACCTATAGGTACCTATATAATTGCATTATAGGCTGTACGCATATTCAATTTCCTGTGTAACATCACATATATTGAAATAAATATAAACCTATTCGCAGTTAGGTTTTGCGTAAATCGCATGTAAAGTTCATCCGTCAATTTCTACCCTGATTCATCAATACACGTGGTAGTATTTTGTTTTGTCGGACACCCAGATGTTTTTTGTAAATATATGTACTGGTATCAGAGGACTATAAAAGGAACTGAGTGAGAACTTATACTGTTGTGTGTGTCAGTCTGTGTGTTTTCTATGTATACTATGTATGTAATTGTCTAGTACCAATAACACAAGAACTGCTTACCTTGGGACTAGATGACGTAGTGTATTTTGAAATTGTCCAGGGGTAAAAAGAATTTGGACAGACAAGACAGTGTGAGAGCAGAATTTCTTGTCAGATCTTTTCGGTTCGAACTATAGTACAAGGTATACTGATAGTAGTTTGGACTTATCATAAATGTCAATTTGATTTGTTTTTATTAACAAGTTATGAATATGTTAGTGGATGTTTATAAATACTGTATAATATCCTTTATTGGATCCACTGACACTATTGATGTTGATCTACCGAGTATTACTTATAGTTGTTTTAATATTGTAAGTGTTTACAAATATTTGCAACATCTGCATTGCACATTGTATCTGAACAATGTAAACAATCGTGCTTGGTATAAAACTGTTTTATGTATGAAATATACCATTATAACTCCATAAAACAGGCATGGTTTAGGCTTTAAATAAAAATAGAGTTCAATTTATCAGAATTATTTCTTTATCTGAGTTTTCTACTTACATATATACAGTAGGTTGGTATTATTAAATTGCGTTTATAATTAGTATTGTACATAATCTTTTATTGAATAAATATAATATACATTATTTACAATTTATTACAGTGTCTTTCATAAAACTGTTTATAGTAATCAGTCATTTTAGAAGAATATTTTTACAAACATTTTCAAAACTTATAACTAGGTCTATGGTCTAACTCCATGTTGTAGATCGACTCAATAAAAAATTATTCGAATTTATTGATAAGCTTGAACACATTTGCAATAAAATAACAATTTGCTATTAAAATTTACATGTTCAACACTAGTCTACACCGTTAATTTGTAGCTATATATCTAATAATAAATATCTTTTATAAACAATCTAATATCTGTTACAACTACCTATACTATTTACAAGCTCATTGTATTATCACATTTCAACAATATCGCTCACAGGCGGATATTAAAATTAAATTGAACACTAACACTAGCATTGTCAATATGGCCTCCACACTGATTTATGAGTTCCTATCGTACCATTTGCGATTTTAGTGGACGTTGGACTCGTCGACAATATACGTGTCGTTCGTTGTGACGGAGCTTTCAGTTCATTTCGGACACGCGGTTGATCTGACACTGTCGAATCTGCTGGTTGTACTCGTTTCATTTCTTGTAGCTCAACGTTCGCAGGTCTCGTCGGATGGAAAGCAGATTTCACAACTTCGATCGTTTCCTCGTCGGATTCATCAGAAATAGTTGCATCATGCACAGAGTTAACTTCTGATTTAGAGTCAGCTTTCGATCTATCCGGACTTGCATTTCCCATACTCCGTGGACTACTTTGTCTACTACTGGTAGGCGACAGACGAGCGCTCGATGTATCCATTGAAGAAACATTACTTTGGAGATGTCTTAAAGCATCGTAGGGTAACATGCCATTTTTCAATGACAACTCAGGAGGTAAAGACTTTAATGCTAGTTCTGCGGGATGTGGTGGGAATGGTAGAAGTCCATTTGTTGGTAAAAACGCACCAGGGGGTGGTAATAGTCCTCCGGGTGGTAAGCTGGTCATCGCTTGTGGAAATGGGAATAACTCCGGTCCAGGAAGCGTGACTGGAGGTGTTGTTATTGGTGTGACTCCACCTGTTGGACAAAGAGAAAATATAATGAGTACTAGGGAAATATGATATTTTGCTTCTTGCTGTCACTATCAATACTTGATTGGCTAACATGACGTAATATGAGAGACGAGCCCCTGGGGACAGCCGGAGGCTCACGCGCACTTTGTTGATTCCCCGAACAACGAGGGTGCATAATCGTAGTAAGGATAATGTACAATCTGTAGGCGTTTAAAGGCGGCTTCCCCGAAAGGGATGTTTTTTTAGTACGATATCGGGAGGGTGAGGGTGCAATATTTATTTATCCGAACACGACGTCGTTCTTTACGATGCAGACACGACATTCCGCCATAATTCGGTGTACACGTCTCCTTTCTACATTAAAGTATCGCGAAGCATGTGACATTAGAAATGCAGGGCACGCGTAAAACCGTTGCAGCGAACTCGTGTGTTCTACAAAGCCGGCTCCATCGCGATAAGGAGGCAGAGTTATCTCCGCATGAAACGGACAAAGAGGGATTGCAAGGTAAAATTTTCATTAGCGACAGTGTTCAAAAGTTCTTGCTGTGTAGCTTTGATTCTCAATGGCGTGTAAGAGAAGCTAGCACGTAAAAAGGACACGATAGAGGTGCAGATTGGGCCACAAAGAGCTCGGAGGTGGTGCAACGTACGTTTCTGTTTTGTATTTTTTCTGTTTGCAGCAGTGGCAGTGCGCAGACCACTTTAAAAGGCAGCGAGGGTGGGAAGGGACGTAACTAGGGGGTAATTTAGCGAGGTGGGGGCCAATATCGGCGTCGCGCCTGATTGAGGTGATCCCCGACCTTTGAATTTGATTCTGATTCGCTTTAGTCATTATTTTTAATTATAGAGTAATTATTTTAATTATAAGTAATTGGTAGACAAATGACAAGTTTTATTGTTTATTCATTATCTTTCAAAATATGTAGTTCATATTTTTTAAGTTTATTTATAAAAGTAAACTCACTACCAAAGTCAATACTTTGGAAATTCAAACTACTTACTAACTTCTGCACTTGCGTAGTCTTTGTAGGTAAGAAGTTAATGTTTTTACATATATAATTTGCGCATAAATTATTTAAAATATCCAACAATTTTTAACACATTTGCTAATAATATAATGATGTTGGAAGAGCTTAAACATTAGAAAAGTTTTAGATATACAAAATCCCTACCCATCTACTATTATATAAAGATCTATTTTCTTATTAACCTTAATTTCAGATTCAGATTAAAGCATGTTATTGAAATTTATTTATAGAAAAGTATAATATATACATCATAAAATTACGAAGTACATTAAAAAATAATTATATATTACATAGTATGAAAATACTAAAACACTGGTAGAAATTCTTCATTAGAATGAAGCAGAATAAAATTATGTCAGAAGCCGTTGTAAAAAAAATGTGATCATTGTAAAACTGCGTCACTAAAGGTATAGGATAGAGGGCTTATCTACTCGTACTTAGTAAAGTAGTGGCCAACCGTTAGTAATAATAAAGTGGACTTGGATGGAATATGTATGAGTGAGATAACATATGCTGGCGGGTTTAATAAAAGTCGATAGCCGTTTGAGTAGGTACAACGCTCCTCGCGTTTCAACGACGGAAACAAAAAGTGGCTGGTGGCGCGGTCGGCAGCATCGGAATAAAATTGACTCCACACTCTCTCGAACGTGAAGGCAATGCTTTTTTAACTGTTTTGCGACCTCCCTTCGCTTCGCCCGATAGCGGACTTCAGCGGGTGGTTATGCTTTGGTCGGGGCGGTGTTGTTTTTCAGAGCTCAAGAGATGCTTCTTTTATTTCAGCCGCTTTTCGCTATACGGCCTTGAAGGGGTGGCTCAGTTGCAACCTACGTGTTTTCGAGTGTTTCCTAAATCGGGAATTTTTAAATTAACGAATACCAAATTGATCCTCTTTTTTGGAATGTCAGGAAAGTGATACACATTTTATAAACAAAGGCATGGTTTGTTTCAAGGGTAGAACTACTAATGAAATACATCTTTGTATACAATGAGGAGGGTACAAGAATTGTTGATAGCTACGAACCTTAAGTTTATACAAAAACTAAAACTACGAAATAAACTTAATGAATAATGAGTTTCATTAAAATCTCGTAAGAAGCAAATAAATTGAAATATCCTGTTCTTACAATTAAATAAATTAGTAATATAATACGATACCTTTTACAAGTGAAGCATTTTGTTCTCTCATTTGTGGTGGCCGAAAGTAATCCACCCATGCGTAATTAAGATAGGCAGCGTCTAACCATCCAGGATTGAGAAGGAAGGGACTAAATGCTCCGGGGTGACCATAACCGTAATCTGTAACAAAAGAAATTATGCAATCTGTCATTATATGCGTCATAAAGTAAGAAAATACGACAATTGCCAATTGATTCCACACATTTCCGCATCGTTATCGTAAAATGTGGGTAAATCATTTGTATTATACCAAGGCTGGAGGGATGGAGGAAGGTCACTGTAATCTTGAGCCACGTCCGCCAGTACTAAACTCACAAAGGAAGACCATAAAGGCGGCGACACACGGCCCGCGCACTGTTTACCGCGTCTATATCAAGGGGTATGTATACAAAACGATCCGGTTTACTACTGCAGTTAGTCGGCTCCTCTGTGCCATACGTTTTTATGACGCTCTACCATCATGTTGCCTTTCGCCTTTCAACCGGCGAAACGATTTTTTATTTGTTTAATCGATAGCCTACTGAGACGCCACCGCCGCGTCTATTTTCGTGTTTTATAGCGTTTTTAATCGAATGGCGAGTTATCTGAATCGATCAGGTATATCGATTTTTATTACAAGATTAAATCGTTTACGAGCACTTTGTCTACTTTGTTTTTAACTTGTAAACATTTTGTTAAGCTCTTTATATCAAATGCTCGCGATTGTTTCAAGTAGTTTAATTTTGTAGGCAATTCTAAACACGTGCACAACGGAGGCGAGAGCGTTTTGTTTGCACGTAGGTAATCAGATGTTGACTTAACGTTTTTATTGGATGCTAAAAGTAGTATGTATATTAAACAATTACTGTGTAAACATAAGCACAACCCGTCCGCGTTTGGGAGATTAGCGAGTTTCGTGAGAGCGTTTCCCAAATCGCGGGTATTTTAAATTAAGAACGTGATGGATGGCCCGTCGCGCTGTCACGCGGCAATCCCGTTGAAGAACGTTACGGCATCATGGTACAATAATAAGTTAAATGTGAAACTCGGAAATGGCCCGCTCCATTTGTTAATGCCAGTATTCAATTAAATTCAGTTCTCCGACCCTTCGCATATGCGAGGCTCTGAATATTAACAGGGTTGTGAGCATGTCTAATGTTCAGATGTGCAACATGATATGTCTGTTAAAGACAACTTCCATCTACTTATAAAGTTTCATAATATATATTTTAGAATTTCATTGTTATAAACTTTATATATATAGGTTATAGTGTTATCAATGAACCGTGATTGACCATTGTAATTTTCTAACAAGTAAATTAAACTTGAGTTTAACACTTGCATTGAAAGGTCTTAGTGTTTTATATCTATAAAATTTATATTTGTAAAAAGAAAACGTAGTTAAGCATGATTATCAGTTGTTTTGTGCCGATAACACGAACTCTACCTGAATTTGGGATTACTCGATTCCGTGTGTTATATCTACGATTATTTATCTAGTTGTCACTACGTACATTTAAATAATCATTAAATATATATTGGTACGTCCAAATTTGTCAATGACGATAATAATATATATTAGTTTCATTAATAAAATCGTTCTTACGAATACTGTTTTAACAATTTGATAATGTGAGTCCCCGTATATATTAATTAACTTGAATTCATATCAATTTATATCCCATAAGTTGTACCATTATTCTTTCCTTACGATGACAGCTACTTAGTGTGATTATGATACATCCTGAACCAAAGTAATTACAGTCAGCCGCTTTGGTCTCATCAACCTCATGTTTTATTGTATCTGGTCGCGCTTTAGTTTACGACCGATCTAATTCTGTCTCTCATAATGGGTTAAGAATGTTCAAATCAAAAGCCAACGCGACCAATTCGGGACCACGGGTACAATAAACGAGTGACTTATAAGTGTCAAAATGAGCATTAAATATCTAGAGAACTAACAACGGGCTGTCATACATAAATTAATGCAGACGCGACGGGCGTATATTAAATAAATGGATTCAGAATTATGGCTCGTAAGACGGACGGGTGGCGACGGTGTCCCATAACAAACACCGCATTGTCTTATGTGTTTGATCAGCAGTTATGTTAATTTATGATCGTGTTTATTGTGAAATGTCCTATTAAATATATGACATAAAAATGTAAATTTGTTTAATACAGTCAGAGAATGTATAATGTGCTTATTGCAAGATATGGTTTGAGGATGTACACGTGTCAATTTGCCTATAGAAAATTGAGATTGTTAACCTATATTACCTATTGTATTTGTGTATTTTCTTTGCATTATTATAATAGTAGTACTTCTAAAGCACTACATTAATGTATGTATGTATGTAATGTAAATTTAAAGTTGTTTAAAAAGAACAATCGAGTTTCTTCTAAGTGGCTGAGACTAGTCAGATAGTTATATTGAAAATAGTGTACTATATATAAATAAAAAATATTTCCGTTCTGGTCTACATAAAAGTAAGAGGTTATGCATTAGCTGTAATTAAATAAATTCATTATATTACTTAGTTGCATACGATTTATTGAACATCTTTACGTTTGGGAAACTTTTTAACAAATCATGTCTAAATTTTCTTAGTTAAGCAACCATCAGTAGATCAGACCGGGTGGTAATGAGGGTCGCTGGGTTTGGATGTGGTATTTTAGCAGCAAGCAGGGACATAAAATCCATATTTTAGAGGCAGCGGCCGTAGCGAGCGGGGGCGGGGAGATCAAACGGGACTTTACGACCCGAGATTGTTTACATCTGGTACGCGGCCGTGGCTAAACCATGAAACTTGGTAACCACTGGATCTGCAAGTGCCGCATATTAAATGCGCCGATTGTTTCATTTGCGCAAACTTTCTAGAAACTTTGTGAAGGTTAATTAAGTTGTCAGCTTACTCATGGTGAGTGTGGGTAAAGTTTGCAAATAGTGTATATGTACCTATTAGTTAGTTAACATTATCATCAAGAGAAATGGGTCACATTCTATTATAAATGAACACACATATAATTTATAATTAGTTTGTGGTTTGAGTTTGGTTGGTACATTTTTTCTGATAAGAGAAAAGTTAAAATTATAGCGCCAATTTATTGTTCCGAAATTTTAATATAAAGAATTAATATGCTTTATTATTTCTTTATATTAAAATTTCATCAAATCATAAATTTGTATATATTTCCTATACCTATATATTGAGGAATATTTGTATGTCAATTTATTATAACATATTTAGTATCTACTGAATGTACTAGAGTTGATAATTTTGAAATTGAATTCTAAAATTATATATCTAAATATTTTAACTTGAAATATCTATTTACAGCATTAAAATTTTTCATGCACTTTTGCAATCAGTTAGATTTTCGTTATTAATGCGTGTGTAAAATCTTAATATTAAGTATATTAACATTATAGTACTTAGGTCTTATGAATATTGAACAAAAAATTTTTCATGTTTATTTCTGCCTCTAATGAATTATCTGTATAATTGCATTTACTTCACTCGACATTAGGTAATTATTACGCTGTCCATCATTAGCCAGCGACTCCATTGATCGCTTGATTAACACGAACGAACTCTTTGATGTTTATGGCCCAAGGATGTTAGTTTTTCCGCATACTGTCTTTTTATTATTGGCCGAAGTTTGGGCCGACTGTTTACACAAGCGTCTCGGTACGCCCGTAATATCCAAAATAGATTTGTGGTGTCAAAACATAACGAATTCCGTTTAATTCATATATTACAGTGTAATTGATGTTAATATCTTTTTTATTTTGGTAGTAACCATTTTTCTTGTTAATGTGGAATGTTTTTGAAAATTGTGATATTCTAGGTCAATTTTATTAATGCATTTAGTTTTTTACAGTTCTGATCCAGAGCAATAAAACGGTGAAACTTAGTTTGTCAGTCATAGTGATGTATTTCAATTGTGGTTATATTTGAACTATCAATTACGTAATCATAATAAATAATTATTATGAATACGGAATTAATACCTCAAAGTTGCTATAAACCATATATATGTTATTAATCTGGTATAATCCTGTACAAAATTATTATCAACTATATATACTACATTATATTAAAATATAAGTAAGTTTTGGTCCACCTGATAATAAATAATAAAAGACTGTACTCGCTCTACCTACATACTAGGTTGAGTAAGTACAGTCAGTACCAAAAATGGATTCACACATCCAGATTTTCGTATTCCCTATACGTACATTGTTGCGAGTATTCAGCTAATTTTGACCATTTACGATATTCGTGCTCTGGCACTAAACTTGTGGAATGACTTACTATGTAGGTATGCAGGTTTGGACATCTGCAAGTTGACTATGAATTGGGATCAAATCGAAATTATCTATACTAATATTATATACGTCAAAGCATCTCTGTTTCTAATTTTCAATATTTCTACTTACAACTAACCTACTATTATTAAACGAATATCAAATATATGTCAATATTTTTTTGGTGCCAACAGTAATATGGATACCTACGGTTTACTAACAGTCTATAAATAGTACCTACATATACCGAAATTATATTTTGTAATCACAATGTTACTTATCCTTAACTCAAAAATAAAAATTCGACTCTATAAATGTTTATTTTAATCTAGTTTAGATTTTTTTTAATATAGTATTGTATTAATATGTTTGATATTTGGGTGTTTTTTTGCGGAATGTTATCCACGTCAGTATGGTACCAACGAAATAAAGTTCTTAAGAAAAGTACATTAAATACCATTTACCTATATACGATAATGGTTCTGTATACAATGATTATATTAGTGAAATATGTATTAATATAGATACTATATCCATATAAACATTCTTATAGAGATTATAAACATTAACAAGATGTTAAAGTTACAAGCGTACATTTATAAGTTCCATGTCAAAACACAGTTTACTTAAAACTGATCGAACGAGACAACAGAGCTAAGAGGAGTTATTTTTGTTTGGATGCTGTTAACGCTAATTCCACGAGTAGTTGAAGATTAAATGGAGTAGCAATTAATGTCTGCGTGATTGACTGTTTCTCACGTCCGTACACGCCAGATGTTAATTTGGGACGAAAGAGTTCCGTCTGCATTGTTATCGGCTTTTTGTTTAGCTTTGCTTTGTATTTAGATATGTGATTTCAAGTATCTTTGCAATGTAGGTATACAGCTGTTAATATTTGTTGTTTCAATTATGTTATTAGAAATATCCGGAACAAGTAAATGTATTGGGATGTGGAGAATGTGACTCAATTTTCAATCAATAATAGGTACCGTCGATATAGGTGTTGCAGAATATTGAACATATACTAATATAACATAAGGAGGGCCTTACGAAGGTCTTATAAATGATGCGAGAATATTATATGTTATTGAAATTATCACATTTTCTTTCTAATGATTTGAAAATATTTAGGTCTCTTAAATATATAGAATACTAAATGTTTCTTGCGGATTGCAATTAAATAATAATAATAATAAGTGAATGTTATAAAAAATGAGATTTTCATACTTATTAATTTTGGCTGTGGGTCAGTTAACACGAAAAAAAGTATATATACCTATGTATACTATATTGCCATTTTTAAGACTGATGTAATTATAAGAATATTAACAATCAAGGCAATGCAACTGTATATTTATAAATGCATTTTTCTTAGAACATTTTGAAGCTCTTAATTTGCATTTACAAGCAGCCAATATTATCGTCCATTTGTTACTATTATAAATTAATTATTTCGCAAAAGCACTAGCCAAGAGCCAAACTATTTCGAATGTGGTTAAATGCCGTGGTGCCGCAAAATCGACCTCGGGTTTGCGGGCTGGCTGCGGGCCAAGCGCCGCGCGCGCATCCACGCAAGAACAGAACAGAGACGCAAGTATCACTCGAACAATTAATTTTTTTTATTGTCTCACAATAATTATTTATATACGGCTTATTCGACTTATTGAAATTTCGAATAGTTTTATCAACAGTGGCAAATTGAAAAAATTTTGATCAAAATAAAGTCGAGTAAATTAAAGTCAATATAGGTCATGTAAAAGATTTTGTCCTTTGTTACAGTAACACTCTTTATAATGGTAATAATAATTCAATATATTTAGAACTGTTGATAATGTTACTATGACAAAGTAATAAAGTTATTGTATTTCATTATACGCAATACGAAACTCTACCTTAGTTCGTAACAGATGAGAAGGAAATTAGTAGGTATTAATTACTAACATCAATTTAGAAAATTTTAACACACTATGCTACTCATGTATCAATATATAAGTACTTATATGTTTGTAAGTATATGAGTAGTAGTGTTCAGTTTTTATCACCACTTATATAGTAACAAAACTAAGTTCGATTGTTAAGTTGCCAAAGTAACTCTACATTAAGATTCACATGCGAAAGCAGACCTTGAAGCAGTGACAGTAAATCACAAAGTTTTGTCAAACATTTGGATAAAAAAGAACTAATGTACTAAACTAATTATTACTAATCACTCACTTTGTTTAGTTCGAGGTTCTCTAGGTCCATCCACAGTGACTTTGATGGCTTTTGTATAAGTGGCAACTTGTGATGGAAATGTGCTGATCGTGATCGTAAGAGAGAACGACTTCCCTCGTCCGCTACGACCCACGAACCGGAGGTCATTAAACTTCGCCACCTGGTTCTTCATCACCGCCGTACAGTTCCTCAGCTCTGCCATCACATTCTCGTCGTTGCCAGCCTTTATCGTCACTAGTGTACCATCCTGAACGTCATCCAAAGCCACAACTTTGAAAGCAACCGGTAAAGATTTATTCGACCTCCAGTGGCCGGGTAGAACCGAGCACAATACGGCCGGGGAGCCGGTCTGCACCAGTTCACCGTGACTTTGCCGGTAGTACTCATGAATATGGGAGTATACATCCGCCATGCTGGGGGCCGGTGGGCTCGCGTGCGGGAGGTGCATCGACTCCAGTCTACCCACAACAACCGCACCGACTCTCGACACGCCACTGAAGTCCTATGTCACGCCACTGTTCTCTTTATACACTTCGAGAAAAGTTTATAAACACGCGATCGTATTCAAAACTCGCGGCGCCGAGCGCTCAGGAAAGTTGTGCGAAGTGCGAGCGCGAGACAGCGTGTGAGCCGCGAGCGGTCGTCTACGCCACTTGTTGGGCGCGGACGGCAAGACGCCGGGCGGGGGCTTGGAAAAATAAGCGGGCGGCTTGTGTGACTCGCCGAGACCGCAGCCGAAGACGCACGATGCGCACCGAAGTCGCGGCGAAGGGTCGCGTGCTCACGGGGACTCGGTTTCGACTGATGACTGTGATACGACGCGACTTTTTCCGATGGTCAATATTTTGCGTTCGCGCGGTCGCCGCCCCCACCCGGGTGGAGGCCCCTACGTCTCGTAAAAAGCGGGAAGGAGACGAAGGGTGCGGGTAGCGTGGTGATGCGGCGGGAACGAGCGGGATGGCCGCGGTCGGTGTCTGCGTTTTTATAAAAATGCTGCCCGGAGTGGGATGCCGCGGCTCCGCGCCCGCCGGTGAGAAAGGGATGGGTGATTTTTTTTTAATCATCGCGGTGACGTATCGTGAGGCGGCGGTAATTAGGCCGCGGGGCGGCGGGAAACCGCGGTCGGTGCGAAAACCTATCAACGAGCTCATGAAAAATTATGATTTTCGTGTTTGAAAGCAGCGGGAGCACCTCGCTCAATGGTACTTTATTTTAGCAGAGCACGCGAAGAATTCCAATGATGGGGGCACTCCAGCTATACCTACCTACTTTTAATCACCACATTTCATACCCTTTATTTCATACCAGTAATATTATTTTCATTCTATATAGTTACACATATCTCTACTTACTTATTGTAATTTCGACATCGTCATATTAAATGTAGGGATATAATTCTGCACTAAGATGCCTAAATAAGGACTTGCATAACAATATGCAACAGGTACCTACTACCAACTTCGCAAAAATTATAGTAACTATTTCGAAACGACATATCTACAGCTCTCGTTACCTGTATTATAAATACAGAACAAAAATAAATTACTATTGACCACAAGTAATATGTGTAAAGTTTGTTCACAAGAGGTAATAACTATACTATAGTATTTTTTGTTCTTATAAGCTAATAACGTAATATATTATAAATAATTACACATGCAGAACATAAAAAGTAAATACCATTAATAAGTGGATAATTTATAAATGATAGACGTCAATTGTTTGTAAAGTCACAGAGTTTATTTAATTAAATAAACCTCATATTCCGGTGGCGGATCTTAAACAATATTTTATCGGATAACAAACAGAAAAAATCACACTAAACAAAGAGTTTGATATCCGTCGCGTCGCGTCGCGTCGCGGCGTCGGCGTGCGGTTAGCCGCTGATGTGTGGAGTAAAAGAGACGGGCTATGCGGCCGATTGAAACGGATGTATGCAGGAGGCGGAGCGGCGCGCGGCGGGCGGAGCGTAAAACTTTGTACAACTTCGTAGAGAGTTTCCCGCGTTTTTCGTAGCGCGATCGGAACGCAAACTTATAAAAACTGTGTCACAACTCTATGTAACAAATTGTACAATTTGAACTGGTGTCAAATTACATTATATTGCTTTTACTTTAAATTAGTTGCTTATAATGAACTATTTAAACGTAGTATTTACCTGAACAGTAGGTTAGTAGTAGATAGTTTTTCTTTTAACTTAGTTATGTAAGCACTTATTTTTTCTTTCTTTTATTCAACCACTGTAATCCACGGAAGTTATTTCTTCTTTGGATAGCTACTAAAATGTGTAAGCATGTTACGTATTAAGCCACCTTATTACTGACTTAGATGAGTAACTCACAATACGACGCTGAGATGGTATTAAGTACCTACTTTAAAAGTTACTTCTCTCTTTTTATGACAAAAGTACAAAAATATTATAAACAACAACATTACTATTTTAAATTGTGTCACTACAGTTGTGTGTTACAGGTTTTAGATATATATAATTTATCTTGACTTCGAACAGATCTTCGAGGATTTCGCTATTCGAGTTTCAAAGTGATTAAAATTTCGAATGACCCAACTATTTGGGTGCATCCAAGGATCATAAATATTAAAGAACTGAGTGACCGATTCAGCAATTTGATAGGTACTGTGCTTCTTTTGATAGCTCAAAGTAATAATAACGAATGGGTAAGAAAATTATTGAACAGAGACCATAAGGAGGTAATAATGGACTCAAAATCTATGACCCAAAATCTATAAATTTTGTAATTTTGCGGGTATAAAAAATTCATATATACCTATATAAATTATCTATATTATCTACGTACTAGTTGATCCGCGATCTTCGTCTACATCACGCTTACTATACATTTATCATTATATTCAGTAAAGTCCTCGAGTGGCGACCTCGGACCGGAAGACGCAACATGGGAAGGCCTCCAGCAAGGTGGACCGACGTTCTGGTCAAGGTCGCTGGAAGGGGTTGGATGCGAAAATTCATTACATAAAAACCATATATAACTTACTGTGACAACGAATATTATCTCACATAACAATAACTTAGTACCCTTTCAACAATACTTAAATGCCGTTCTCTAAATAAGTAACATATAGGTATGTAGTTTTATCTACAAATTTACATATTACTTACATTATGTATGAAGATATTCATAGTCATATAGAAGCCGTAGATAACATACACAATGTTGTTGAATCTATACAAACAGCATAACTGATTCTTTTTACTATAACTAATATGCATATGTGAGTATGTTATTATATCTATTGTTCAAAGGTCGCGTTCATTTTGTTAGAAACTTATTTCTAACTGTAAGTTTGAGTACAAAGGTGACGTTGATAACTTCAAACATATGACTGATAACAGATGCTGTTAGCGTGTGGAGAATGTTGCCTACATTTTTCCTGTCGGCACCTTTGTAGTTCTCATACGCATTGTTCTAATTTCAAAACTTTCATTGTTAACCAGTTTGTTTTACTCTTAAATTGTTATGATATTGTTTGATTTTATGCGTTTTTAATGTTTCAAATATATTTTAAACTTATAGCACCTATTTTGTGGCCGCAAGGCGTTAGGTTCTGTACTAGTCATTATTCATATAATATAATATAATATATTATATTTAAACTACCATTAATCTACATGAACTAATCAACTGTCAACACTAGGTAGCCACCGTCTCTAGAATTTGTTATCGATATTGTCATTAGCGGAGGGTCAGATGTTAATAATAAAGATGCATAGCTTTTAAGTAGAAAACTACTATACCACGACAACCTTATAAAGTACCTAAAATATATATATATATAATAGTATAGGTATATTTCATTATATAAATATTCCATTTTTTTTAATGTGTTTTTTGAATGTCCTAAAAAAATTATTTGTGAAAAATTTATTACACGTTTCTGTACGTACTTCTTACCTACCTACTATTCCATTCAATGTAGGTACTATCTAAGTCGGTATATGTATGTATAAGGTTTTATTGTATAATTATTGTGAAAACACTTTGTTTTTATTTTGCTTATTGAAGGGCATATGTTATAGGTACGAGTATATTATGGTACCTACTATCTACCTACTAGAAGTGTTACTTCATTTAACTACTTATAACTCTGCTATTTGTATTTTTATTATCGGTCTGTTTGTTTACATTTTCACTTCTATTAAACGCCTGAACAGATGTTCGACGTGATGATATATATGTGGCATATCACATATTTTTTAGATAAATTGTTATTTATCTAAAAAATATGTGATATGTCACAGTGTATGACCGTCACGTCATGTCATTTATCTAAAATATATTTATAAAGATTTATATTATTAACCGGGTCTTAACACGAATAATTTTATGGCAAATAATGATTGCTTTTCTCGATGTTTTGATTAGGTTGCACTACCCTGGCCACACTAAATAGAATAACTATTTACTTACAAAGATCCTGGTAATCTATATATATACATCTAAAGAAGAGAGACCTTTACTATAATTAATAATAAAAAAACTTTAAATTTCATATTTAATATTGTGCTCGTAGATTACTTCATAAAATATTAACACTAAACTAAATCGTAATTTAATAAAAACTGTTGATAAAAAAATTAGAAAGTCAAACAGCAATTGGCGACGCCTGTGTTCTCACAGGGGACTCGGAGTCAAAGAATATCACTCAATTACGGCAATAAAAATAATATTGTATGTAAACACAGTCACTTTGATGTCTGTGCGCACCGACAGCTACCGAATGGTTTGTGCAACCCTCCCTTTACTGCGAGTCTCGGGCACAATGCGCCCGCGCACAATAGAATATTTCTAAGATGTTCCATTATTTTGGCCCAAACATTGGCATTGGAGTATTGTGGGCCCTTTTGTTGGCTATTTACCGACTTTTGGGTTGTTACATTGAGGGGCTGCATGAAAGCCGCTCGGTAACGCGGATGACTCGAAAGATGTTTCAATCCACGTTTTTATGATCAGCCAGCGATGCGGCAATGTTAACTTTTTGAATTCTAAATTTGAAATTCAATTATTTATCTAAATCCTTACTTTTCTGTCTGACTAGGTATAATCTGTATTTAAATGTATAAGATAGATAACTATACTTGCTTAATCTAGATATTATGTACATGTAGTACCTAAATACCTGCTTATTCACTTGTGCATGTAATTATAATGAATAATACCTAATTAAAACAATACAGTAACAGAAATTTGGTTATATAAAAAAATGTACTTTTTTGGCATACATAAAAGCGCGTACAGTAATAAATAAGATTTTCCTTAAAGAATATCTGCATAGATATAATATAATACGTAATACTATTAATATAAATGTGAGTTTCTTTCTTTGTTTCAGATAAAGCTTAATACATGTTTAATAAGTTAATTAGCGAAAAATTTATGTTACAAAAACGATTTATCGTACTTCTAATAGGGAAGAAATGGCTATAATTATAAATGGTTTTTATTAAACCTTACTGCCACGGGAGTGCAATATAAATGGCGGAAATGTTGAATCACACATGCTATCGAAGCGTTAACTTGTAAACAACTCATAGGTAAGTATCTTGTATAATTTTAGGTTTTATATCAAATTAAATGATCAAACCGGGAGTTGATTGGTTGGTAAATATTAAACATATATGCTTTATAAGTATCTATGACAAACATATATGGTTTTGCGTAAAATCATGTCATAAAAGTTAGAAACAGTACAATATAAAAAGTGATACTTAGAAATATATTGATGACAAAGACAAA